GCGACGGCGGTTTGGCCGATTCTGGACGGCTCCGTCGTCGCGGGTGGGCGAAGCGGTCGGGGAAGGGGGAAGCGGCGCTGATGGGTCGTTAGTATACGCCTCGGAGCCCGGTTTGCGTATTTCTAACGACTCCCCGCACAGTGGTTTATCTCCAGCTGCGGCCGGCTCATTTTCCAGCCCCTGGCTGCAACTGTTACGCCGAGCTGTTCGGGCTGTCCGCGAGCTGATGATTCGTGCGTGATTGAGAAAGTTGGTATGCTATTTAACCGGTACGGAAAGGGAACGGGGGCTCTCATGGCGAAGTAAGGACAGCCCGCCTAGTTCGGTGGTAACCGATGTTCAGCCGATAAGGCGAGAGAGGTTACTCTGTTTAGTTGTTAGCCAAAACTTCTCGTTCTTCGTCCAATTTCATTGCGTGCTTCCTGGACACGACGTCTACTCGTGACCTCGAATTCTTGGTCTTCTTTTACGCTTCGTTTCAACTTTTCATACGCGGCCGACTCTACGGGGAATGGTACAAATAAATTAGCGTGAGGAGCGCGAGTCACTAGTCATTTTTTGTTGTTGATTGTTTCAGCGATGATAGAAGACTTGCGTAAACATGACGAACACCATAGGGTGCGATTTTGACGTTCTCTGGTTGGTCCAATCAAATAGTAGCGTCGGCCGTGTCTGGACGTAAGCTGAAACAAAGTACAGTTACTTTATACCATAACAATTTTTATTTTAATGAAGAATCGCAATCTAACGGAAGTTATAAAGCCTGATTAGCATGGTACCATATGGCTTGCCATTTAAAGGCCTCGTGCGGTGTTGTTCACCGCAGCTTCCACGTTGCATTATTTTAGTGTTTTGTTCTTACGAGAGGCGATGCAACTGCAAACTCCTAAGTGAACCTGCACCATGCAAATCAGGCGTAAATTCAGAAACACATGTGAGAAAAACCAACCCAAAAACGCACTAAACTTGGATCCTAAGAAGACAGTTCCTCGCCGTTAAAACAAAACAAAACAAACAAAAAAATATATAATTTTTTTTTGCTCGATGGAATTTGCGAATATGTACTCGACGAAACCATATTTTCAGTATACGTGCAGTAAATATCGTATTTGTTTTTTAGAAAAATCGAGGCAATTTTTTAGTGTTCCGATATCCTTCCGATTTGTGCTTCAGTGCTTTAGTCTTAAAGACGGAAACACATGTGCGAGAAACACACGTAATTTATTGCATGCGACACCGTTTCATGCTACCTTCAATAAACAAGGTGATCAATGCACGAATGTACAAACATTATGACTTCGTTAATACCAGATATAAGATCTCCGCGTTAAATACCAGCCCGTGGTTTATTGTTAAAATAATGATGTATAACTATTTATTTATGTTTTATATTTTTGCGATTTTTTTTATAGTGTTTGACACACGTGTTCCCCGCTTATCGAGCGTTTACACTTGCAAGTTCGCGGGTGGATCCGCGCTGGCGGTGAGTGGATTCTGGGGACGGGTGGCGAGATCCGCTCGTAGCTGTAGGAAAATCCAGGTCGGTCCGGAACTCATATCCAGACTTTGTGCCATCGACAAGTCGATTTCGCCAACCCTGCTCCGAAATTCACTCGCCGCCAGCGCGGATCTCCGGCGCATCCGCAAGTGTAAAAGCGCCATAAAGGTACGTTTACACCTGAAATGAAATTCGTTTCCGCGGGAGCGGATTCGACCCCCGCGGAAACGGATTTGTTTCTTGAAACGGATCTGTTTCTTTCGAGCGGCGGAGGTGCGGCGCCGGCTGCGGCAGCTGTTCTCGTAACATCCCGTCAAATAAGGCGAGAAGGTGGAAAATAAACAGCGCGAAGCTGATGGATGATTACGTAGACGAGGTGATTGCGATGATTCTTCTTTCGTCTTCCCTGCTTGCGATGGAGAAAGAGGAGCAGCGAGCGCCGGAAAACCTGCGTCGCCGTCGGTTGTGGTGGGTTCGCCCATGCTTACGAGACCGCGAAAGGACGGGACAAGCAAGCTGTCTCCTTCGTCGTCTTCGCTCGTATGCCAGCGACGCCTCGCTATTCCAGAACGCTGAATGTCTTCGATACCGTCGACGCCATTGCCAAAAACAAGCAGGAAGAACGCGTACTCGTGACGTAGGCAGCGTAGCGCTGCGCAAGAATGTCACTTCCAGATAGCAAAACGCCTCGTTCGGCGACAGAAATAGGTCCTGGACGTACACGGCTCGCCGCCGCGTTTTCCGCCCAGCGTTTGGCCCCAGTGGCGAAATCTGGGCAGATTGGCTAGCGGATCCGCAAGTGTAAGCGTACCGCAAGGCCCGATTCACATCGCGCGATTTTACGTGCGATTTTGCAAGTGGGGTGGTCGGTAAAGCATCTTTCACCACGCAATTGCGACGTTGCACGGGCAACGTCACAACTGTGAATTAGCTAGTCAAATATACCTCCATGTGAATCAGGCTTATGGTGTACGTTTATACTTTCGAATTTGAGGGCGGATCACCGCAGCCGCCGAGCGGAATTCGAAGCCGGGTGCTGAGATCAACTCGCCGCTGGCTGAAAATCTGAATATGGGTTCCGGACAGACCCACATTTTCCGCCAAGGACGAGCGGATTCCGCCACCCTGCTCCAATATTCGATCGCCGCTGGTGCGAATCCGCCTCTGAATTCGCAAGTGTAAACGCAACATTAAGCCTAAATCACACGGTACGATTTTACTTGCCATTTCGCATTTGCCATGCGCCATAAAAAGCGTGGTGGAAGCTGCCGTGCTCAACGTCTCAGCTGTGAAATCACAAGCCAAACCATACGTGTGAATCATGCCTGATTCACATGACGGGACATTGTTTGCGATCTCGTAGTTACGACGTCGAACACCGCAATATCCACCATGTTTTTTTGGATCGCAGCTCTTAGGCGCCCGTTTCGGCTTGAGCGGCGTCGCCGTCGCCACCACCGTCGCCGTAACCGCGCGTTGCATTATGGGACGTTTCCCATATTGACGTCACACGTGACGTCACGTGTGACGTCACGAGGGTCACCAGTGACGTCACGAGGGTCACTAGGGTCACGAGTGACGTCCCTTGTAATTGCGCGTTGCATTATGAGACTTTCCCATAATGATAACACACGTGATGTCACAAGGGCCACTAGGGTCACGACTGACGTCATGAAAGTCACGATGAAGGTCACGACCTTTACGAGGCCTTCACGAGCGACGTCACGAGGGTCACTAGTGACGTCACGAGGGGGGATGGAAGTAGGGGAGGAGGAGAAGCCAGGAGGAAGGAAGGGGAGGGGAGGAGAATGAGAGGGGGAGGAGGAGTAGGGGAGGAAGAGAAAGTAGAGGAGGAGGGTCATACTTTCGTCTCCATACTGTTCCTCCTCGTCCTCAAAAGCGGTGCTCTAATTTGGCATTACAGAAAGTTGTAGACAACTTTCATTTTTTCTTTCTTTTTTTTCGCCGCACGAGTGACATTGCAACGGCGAAATCGCAAGTCAAATCGCATCATGCTAATCAGGCTTCAACATCGATTTCGCGTGGGTTTCTTGTGTAGCATCGCTCTCTCTAATAGTGAGGAAAGTAGCCCTAGTGGGAGCTGGAAGGGTTGCCCTAAAGTCATTACATAAGCTACGATTAGAGTATCGGCACTTGGTTCCCTAATGTTCCCCTGGGCGCCGCATCTTAGTGCTTGGTGCAGAGCGGACGCAACTGGTGATCGTTACGATTGGAAAATCCGACTTCTTGAGCTCGAGGTACGGCGTCGGAAAGCACAGGCGATGGGCTCAGTCGCGTACTGGTTGCACATTTCCGAAGAAGGAAAACCCGTTTCCCACAATTACGCATGAAACTCCAGACAACTGGCAACAATGATTTTGAGCACCAAGGTGGCTCAAGCGTCGTTACTACGAAGCGTATATTATTTAGTAGCTCTAGGTTGCCCCAGAGGAGTGGGGAAGCTATCAGAAGGGGAGAGGGCTGCTTCTCGTTCACTATCGGCTTCATTGATCACTTGCGCTGCCACACAAGACCACCTAGTAGAAAAGGCCGACTCATGACGTCATCGTCAGTGGATCCCCGACGCGCCCAGGCGGCAAACACGCCAAAGCTCGTCAAGAGCCTCCAGACTGTCTTGGCGTTGCCGCGTACTAACGTCACGTTCGTTATGAGGCGCTCCGAAACGCGCTGTCGACGATGTTGACGGAAGGTAAGCGGCTGAGTGGATCCACTATAGTCCGTTGCAACTCAAGAAGGTAGGGCGAGTGTAAGACGGCCCGGGGAGGAGGAAGCGCGCCGAACGCTGGATAAGAGAGGGGGAAACCTCCTCCTCTCTTTAACGTTCCGTCTGCTTCCTCCTCCCCGGCCCGTCTTACCCTCGCCCTACCTTCTTGAGTTGCAACGGACTATAGAAATGACCGGAGGGCGCAGGTTTTGTTTTTTACATGGTATTGTACCGAGTCGCAGTCAAGCGATGCGCCCGTATTTAAGATCTAGAAGAGTACGACTAGCCGTCGGTTCGAAAAGGCGCGATGACACAAGCCAGGAATTCTTCAACGGGAGTGTCGGCTGCGAATTTTGTGTGATTCCATTATGATTATATAAACGCTTAAAAGTATAAATCCTGGTCACGAGGGCGCCGCTACCTTGAATTGTCGTCATTTCCAGTATGGCCGAAAACATTGTTTTGCCGTCACCACACTAATAGAGGACGTCTAGGATATCAGCGTAACCGTTACACATTCTCGTTTTTCCTCCCCTTTATTTTTTTACTATTTTCGGGTTGAGGCGTTTTATATTTTTTTTTTTGTCGCACATACTGGATGCGCCTATTAGGTGGCTGGGGACGAGGGTACACGAAGAAGGTCTATAGATCGAAATGTAGCTGCGAATTTGCGTATGTCATCCACGTCCCTAGCATGTAACGGGTCCCTCGGACATGCCTAGCGCGTGTGACGACGGGTCGGCGTTAACCCTGTCGACGACTTCTTTCTTGGCGCAGAGGACGCTCCCGTGCTGGAGCAGGTGTTCTCGGAGCAAGAGGTGCGACCGGGCACCTCAACGTCGCTCAAGTGCTCAGCCTCGGGAAACCCGCTGCCCCAAGTCACATGGACGCTGGACGGTGCCCCGGTGCCCGAGGTGTACCACATCCGCATCGGAGACTACGTCAGCAACGAGAGGTGCGTGATGCTAAGAGAAAAAAAAAAAAATTCCCGTTTTTTCGCGTCTTCCGCAAGTGCGGCGACAGACTCGGCACACCCTCCTCGAAACACACAACACTCAATTGCACTGCACACAGATGTTTTCATCTTACATTCTAATGATAATTTTTCACGCTGTGCTTAGCGATGTAGAGGAAATGCACGAATTACTTCCCCACTAAATTTATCGGAGATAGTTTCCCCGCTAAACGGCAAGTCGTCAGGTGACATGGTTACGTCGCGTAACAAACACCGCGACGTCACATTCAATGTCAAGTAAGGCCAAGGTGTCATGTGACGTCACTTAACACCATGACGTCACGTGACACTGTGACGTCACGTTTGCCCAAACCAGGGGTAAGTGTGCGCCGGGCCGACACCAGCTCTACCGCAGCGACGTCACGTCAGACACGCCTGTAAATCTATAACGGCTGACGCCGTGAAAACAACACAAAACAAAACAAACAAACAAAACGGGTGGGTGTTGCCAGTTCAACGCACGATTTTTGAAAAAAAGAAGGGGATTGAGTGAAACTTGTAGGCATGCCTCGGAAAGGAACTTAAACTGAAAGTTTTCGAATGGAAAAAGAACTAGTACTGAAGAGGCTTCATGTTAGCAAAACGTCGGCTGCGGCTCTAAAACTACTAGAAGGTTTTTCTTTTCTGTTCCTTAGAGACAGTCAAGGCGGTGCAAACTTTGCGATTTATTGCTTCGTGCATCAATAAATTAAGTTGAAGCGTTGGTCAATGTGAGCTTAACGAGGAAGAATAGGTGTACCTGAAGTCAGCACTTGGATTTGTTTCAATGGTAGAACCAGCAAGCGAGATGTTATTCTGGTTACGCTAAGAGCTAACGATGACACAACGGCGACTTGCAAAATAATTTTGTCAAAAGACCTGCGATGTCTGAGTTTAAAGTTTCCGAAAGTAAAAAAATAATAATAATAATGCAGACATTTAGCGCATATTAAAAGTTGGAAAAAACAAACTTAGGTGATATTTTCAAGACAATCCGATCAAGAAAGAAAAAAAGGAAGAACGAAAAAAGTGTTGTTAGATAATACGAGGCTCTAGAAAAAGAAAATTGAATTGTTTATCGGTGAAAAAAGAAATAATTTAAAAATAAGGAAAGAAGACGGCCAGGTGTCACTAGGCGATATCGGAAGTAAGGCTATCCATATCTGTTTATACCTCTTCCTTGTGGAACGTAGATGCCATTTACATCGCAAGTGTCAGCAATGTTACAATGCAAACTCCGTCAACAAACATTTCAAAAGACGCAAAACCTCCACATCCTAATATTCGGCACCAGTTGACTGCAGCCATACCTTGTTGACACGCTGCCGCGAGTCTTCGAAGCGACAGTTCAGAAAGATACAGAAGCGTGCGAAAACAAAATGTCGATTCGATGAACTGGCACAGTCACTGGAAAGGGGAATGGGGAAGTAGCTTTTTGGGTCAAGCCTATATAAAGGTTTGCTGACTGACAGGGTGTAATAACTTTGTTTGTCAACCCACGCAGGCTGCCTTAGTGCAGGTCCTGTACGAACGCTTATACATGCTACGTCCATTGCGTTATACACGTACGGGCCTTCACTCTACCATTATTATTATAATTAGCGCAAACACTGGAGCCCGTGCCGTCGGGTACTATCAGAGCACTCTAACGGCCCGGCACGCAACTGTAGCGCAACCGCGTCGCTGCAGTTGCGCGCCAGGCCGTTAGAGGGCCCTGACTCTACCCAAAAACACCAGCTTCCGTTTTCCCGATAATTATAATAAGGTCAATAGCGAGTTTCCGTTTAGTACACGTAAAACCTTTACGTACGCAAAAGAAAAGCGTCGTCGCAGCTGAGCATACCCCGAGGCCAAACAGCGTTTTAGACTGGTGGATAGCGGCGAGGCTATTTCTTTGCGTACCGCAAAGCTTCTCCGTACGGCGTTCTAAAACTCGCTAATGCCTACACTCTCAATAAATAGTAAAAAAATAGACTGATGTCTGTGTAGGCTTCAGCTACTCTTCCCCGTGTTTCCAGGATGGTGCACAGCTACGTGAACATGACGTCTGTACGCGTGGAGGACGGCGGCCGGTACGCGTGCGTGGCGCGCAACGGCGTGGGCGCAGCCCAGCACTCGGCCCGCCTGAACGTGCTCGGACGACCCCTGGTGCGGCCCATGGGCAATGTGACGGCGCTGGCGGGACGCCCCGTCACCCTCCACTGCCCCGTCGCCGGACACCCCATTCAGAGCATCGCTTGGCTCAAGGGTGAGCCCGGGATACCCATACAAAGGATGCCTACCAAACTGGTCACCACAGGTGTCCTTAGACTTGTTTCTAACGCGTAGAGGTGACCATGCGACTTTTGTCTGTTGCTATCTTTTTTTTTTAAATTAGGTCAGACTTCTGATACACACGTGCAGTGAAGGATTTCTATAGGCCAGACGCTATGAAACCATTCTACATTAGAACTATTATCACTGAACTTTGGCTTTCTCACCTGGTCGCTTAGCTACTGAGACTTGCGGTCATGAACCCCAACGAAGATTTGGTCGCAGGCGGATGACTCCCCGGCAACAATACAGAGATTTTGTTGTGGCTGCGTCCAAACACTCAATTATATCGTCTTTTGGGAGTGCCCACTCCGCCATGGAGAACTCCCGACAATGCGGAAACTCTAAAGTTTTACTTTGATATGGCTAGGCAAGATAGTCAAAACGTTATAATCTAGTTTGGAGTGAGATAAAAACAGAAAACCAAATGACGCCTAACTCCGTCACCCAAGTGAGAATATAGACCGTTTGAAAAAAACGCCCGCTACGCATGTTTGTTCACTGGGTTGTGGATCGCGTTAGGAGCAAGCACGAGCTGTTACTTTCATGCGCAAAATGTCGTGCGCAGCCTGTGCGAGCGTTGACAACCCAGTGGATCTGCAAATTTTGTTCCGGGTGGTATGCATTGTAGATTCCTATATCTGCAAAGTTTCCCAACTTCCAGCCCTAACGGCAACTCCTCACTGGTCACTGATTCTGAAGCTTCAAGCCCTCCATGGTACCAAAATTAAGTCCACTACAATTGCAAAGCGCTGCAAGAGGCGTACTCTGGAACTGCGAACTTTGCAGGCCTCCTTCCAGTCTCGTCGAACGTGCGGTACGATGCCTGGGCAAGTGACTGTGGTGCTTCTAACGCATCTCCGACTGGTGTGCTTGTCGAGTTCAAAAAAGTGCTCCCTCAATTTCCACCCGATGACGTCACAGAAGCTTCATACTGTCCCCCGCCGCGATCCTGGCGGTGTTGCAGCAGCGGTGGTGGATGTGGCAGACGCCTGTTCTGCTGCAGGGCGTTCTTCAGCTAGACAGTCCACCGATGCTTGGGCAGGCAGGGGTTCGGACGTCGCAACGACAACCCTAACTTACTATCGCGCTGATTTTTTTTTCTTAACTTCTGCACTTAATTGTTAGGATCGCAACATCCGACATCATGACACTAGAGTAACTTGTGACGTCATTTGTTGATTCTTCACAACCACTTTCGACGCATGGGCGGAATGGGACGCTAAACACACCAGTCCGAAATGCGTTCCAAGAACGGTCAAACGAAGCTGACGGGTTCCAATGGACCTTTTCAGAGAAGCGTTCTGCGCACGCGCGAGCGCCCGATTCCAAGCTGCGGAAGTCGGCACAAAAAATTGAGGAAATTCGGAAGGAGGCTGTGGATCAGCGAGTAGAACACGTAATTGCAGCGTATATATAACTGTGCTACACAACAAAATAAGGTAGACGGAAAGAAGAACACGACGCTTGGGTGGACACCACGGATGCCCCTCTTTAAAGTCGCGTTGGGCTCGCGCCGCAGCAGAGAGCGAAGAAACTGGTAGCGTAGCTCCCATTATCGATTGGTAGCGCAGGTCGGTCACTTCCTTGAATTTTAGTTCGTGCAGCCACCGCCTGGTGCCGTCGGTATGTGGAAAAGGCCCATTTTGTGGCGTGATAATGATGATGAAGATGATGATGGTGATGAGGATGATGGTGATGATGATGATGATGATGATTATGATGATGATTAAGAGTTTAATGGCTCATCGAGGACAAATGCCACTGATCCAAAGGCGAGACAAACGCTTAAAGAACTGGGGAGCCTAAAATAATACATTTGTACATATAATCAACCAACTGTAATAACTAATTTGCGCAACTCGCGAACCTATTAATTACCGGGAGACGGTTTATTATTTTTCGCACCGTTTGATTTACATACAAAGACACGCACACAGGCAAACACAAGGGAAAACCTCCAATCACCTTCAATTAAAGTCCCTCCCTAATTTGCCTCTAATCTTCGCGTTTATGTGTTCCAGGCTTTGTTTTTCTACAATTTCTTGTTTTGATTTGCGAGTAATTTTTTACCTTTCTCCTCAGCTTGACTCAACTCCGTCGCACAGAATGTAGTTCTCCTTTAACTCCAACTTTTTTTTTTCTCACTGGATTCCTGTTCTTACTGCGTTAACCCTCACGTAAAATAAAAGCCATACGAGGAAAAGGCGGTGCCTTCGTTAAAGTTCGCTAATTCGCTGCTAGGTGGGCGGTAACATAACTTTCCTCTAGCGGCAACGACAGATAACCGTCGCTAAGGTTCAGTTCTGTTGTTACCAGCATTTTTATTTCATTATGCTCCATTTTGTTATGTTCGTTGACACGTGAAAAGAAAAAAAAAAATATTCAATAGCCTGTTTGTCGCCTAATGAAGGGTCTAGGAAATTTCGGTGTGGGACTTTTCGGTGAAGGACGTTTCGGTGCGAACTTTTCGCTGCACGAACATTACGGGGCGCACACATTTTGGTGAGCGGACTTTTCAGTGTGAAACATTTGAGTGAACGGGCGTTTCGCTGCATGGACTTCTTAGTGTACGGACTTTACGGTGTATGGTCGTTTGAAATCTTGTTTGTCTTTACATTGTATATGAACGCACGAAGCCGGTCTTATTACTTATTGTTCCAAGTGAATAAACCAGTGTATAGATTTTGCGAAAAATCAATGGGGTACAAGATATTCATCCTTATAGGGTTCAGTGTAGAGTTTCCGGCGCTTCTTTTGCATCTGGTTTCGAAAACGAGCGACAAAACGCGAGAACAACTAAAAAGATTATCTAAAGCACCTTAAAGTTTGGCTAATTGAGAAGATCCGATTAACATCTACTAATACTGCCTTCACAACTGCCTAGATGTTCAGTTATTTATTCGTGCATCAAAAAGACTTCCAACATTTACATTCTGGTTCAGAAAAAAAAAATTAATTGTGCTTGCTTACGCTTATATTTTGTACATTTTTCATAAATGGCAAGCGCCATCACACTTAAATTAAGACAAGTCTTCGAAAGCTTCAGTTGGATCTGGCGTACCGCTGGGTCTGTGTTAAGACCACTTTTGTTTCCTCTTAATATTATTTACAGTGCAGAAAACATGCCGGTTAAAATTTGTTTTTGTGCCAACAATTTAGTTCAGTGCGACTCTGTTATTTTTTTTATATACGATCAACTCTTACCTAATGAATCCTTCGTGCACTCTTAAGTGAAGCAAAAAAAAAAAAAAGTGCAGATGGAAATAAATTTGGACAATTCAGTGTTCATGAGGTTTTCAAATAAAAAATAATCTTTGCTGTTTGGCTATGGCATTGGTGATATAGTTCTAAATGAGGTTGATCAATTAAAAAGAGTACGTATTCTTTTCACGCCTAACCTTTCGTGAGAGAAGCAGGTTAACTTTATTTCCTTATGCGCACTTAGAAAGCTAGTTTGCGTTAAGCGTACGTTGAAACGATCTCTTCAGAAGGTCAAATTAACCACTTTTAAAACCCTCGTTTGTACAATTTCGGAGTATAGATTCGTTGACTAGGACCCGTATCTAAAAGAAAACATTACTATTTCCATTCAATTCACGATTACGTTGTTAGGTTTATTTACAAAAGGTTTGATTGACATTTCTTTTTAAAGTCAACTATGATAAATATGGGAACTCAATCGGCCTTTAAAGCGAACTGTCAAGATGTCGAAAGTGTTTCATAAAATGGTTAATCCATCGCATGAACTACACTAATTTTAAAGCTGTCACCGTCACCAGACGGTCTAATTCTTTGAACATTGTTCCATTTCAGTCTGATATCGTTTGTTTTCAAAGTTTCTTTTATCCTCGCACTATTGAGTTATCTAACACTATTAATGAATCTGTAGATGCTACCCTCTGATGATTTTATATTAAAAATAAGCTAATTTACCCTGCCTGGATGCATGATTGTTAAATTGATATTTATTGTGTTTTGTTTCGGTTTATTGTTAACTATATGTTTATTTTAACAACTGTGTCTCATTCCTGCGTTGGCCTCAATTGCGGTCGCACAATGCACAAAAAAATGCACAAATAAATTTTACACCCTAATCAATATACACTTTTTTATTTCACGCATCAAAATATTCAAATACGCAATCATCTTCAATACCTGTTAAAAAGTTTAACTATCTAATTTAAAAACACATATTTCTTGGGAATTTCCACTATCTAGTTTAAAAACACAAATGTACACCGGAAAGTACGCGCACCGAAGAGTTCAAACACTGAAATTTCCGTTCACCGAAGCATCCCTTCACCAAAATGTTCATGCGCCGAAAAGTCCGCACCGAAACGTACTACACCGACACGTACTACACCTAAATGTCTAGATCCCCCTAATGAAGTAGCTCTTATCATTTAATGATGGGGAGCAACGATTATGTTTGCACGTTTTTGCTGTTGCGTGAACCTAAATGCAGCAATAACATTTTGCTCGCTCTATATGGGCATGCTCTACCGTGTTTTAATTACATTTGGTTCGTCTGTTCCCCTCATTGTAGCTATCAGACTCGAGCCGCAACCTGAACGATCGTCGTGGCAATGATCGTCACGAGTCTAAATCGAGTGCTCACGCGGTGCTCGTCTCCAATCCATTTGCCGCATTCAACTATCGTTATCACGGAGTAACCTTTGTCACGACGTGAACATTGCGATGCCGGTGAACACGTCATCCTCTTTTGTAAAAGAGAAACTAAATAACTCAAAGACGTTTACAAATAGGGAGTTTTCGTAGATCGTTTTTGCCGTCCTGCAACCCTCTCTGCAACCCGCTACAATACCTGGAACTCTGCAGTCAGGACCACCGGCGCGCAGGCGCAGTAGCGGCTTCCTCGTTGCGGTGCGCTTAGCGGAAGGAGAAGCGCGGTTTACGAAAACTCCCTGATCT